ATGTGATGTTGGAGGAATATAATTTTATGGGAGTTCTTCGTGGCAATCAAACTCAAATTGAAATCATACAAGTACATTTCTAGGGCTTGCGATGGGACGGTCACGACATAATGGAAAGTGAATGGAGGTGTCAATGTCAGTTTACAAGCTCAAGTTTGCATGCTGAAATTTGCAGAAAGTCACTTCAAGTTTGCTCGTCAATTATCGCGTCGTAGAGAGGAATTGCTTCTGAAAGGATATTTATGTCTAGAGGCAATGAATATCAAATTTTCTAGTGGTACTCCTGGCTGTACCACTCCAACATTGAATCGAAAGGTACGGTAGCGATGTGACAGGTGGGTTAACGGCTTGCCACCACCTTGCCCGCACCCAGCTCCTAAAAACCTGGCTCATGACGAACCCTAGCTACTGCTTGCCTGGGAATGTGTCTCAAGGGCAAGTATAGCTTAGAATCACTAGCCCAGTAAAGTTCCCCAATGTCTCAACCGCACCCGCATCCATTGTATACAAAAATGCATATTAGTGTAGAAGTAGTGAAGTAGACTAAGAAGATTTCATAGTGATGAGGATTAAGGAGATCTGTGTAGATCTTCAGTTAATTCATTGTGCATTTTGCCCTCAACTACAAACGCTTCCTCCCGCAGTGCTACAATGTCGAACATTGTCCTCGCACAGAAGAGCGCGATACACACACGCGATATCTTGCTTGTATCGGCCGCGACGAAGCCGCATAAGTGACGGTCGAGGGCCGTGATCAAGGCTGCTGCAAGGACATAGAGGTCTGGAAGGAAGAATGAGATGAGATTCGTTTCGACTGGTGAGTGCAGTACCTGCGATGCCTCGGGTGGACGTTGCGAACACAAAGACCGCAAACACCGACAAGGCATCGTCGATCGACTGGCACAACATCTTGCGCAGGTGCTTGCCTAAGTGTGGACACGCGATGACAATCCACGGCAGCGTCGACGTGTAACGTACCTTTGGGGTCGGCTGGTTCTGTGGTTGGTGCTGTCGCGGCAGTCATGTCAGCGTGGACAGGTACTCCACGAGGACGCTGCTGCGCCACACCGGTGGCATCGATGTCTTCGTTGAAGGTTTGGGTCGTGGGTGCGATGGTAGTCATGTGTGACGTGGTTGATCTTGTTTGATTTGACGTTACTGCATGCGATAAGACCTTCAATACCAAGCAAGACCTTCACTTTCAATACTCGGAGTAAACAAATTCGACTGGCTCAAAATCGTGAGTTTTGAACCAATTAGAATCCACTATTCAATTTTCTGGATGGGATGGAACTGTCGGGTGGTAAACGAGCTGGAGTGAGTGACAGGTGAAGGCTGGGCATGCGAAACTAGACATGAGAAGGAAAGGATCGGACTTGTTCCCATGGACGCCGCCGGTTTGTCGCCGCTAGATAGCTTTGGTCGCTGAAAGGATTCTGCCATTGTGCGCAAAACTTCATCCATCTTGTAATTCAGTTGAAATTCAATTATTCTACTTCGAACTTCGATCTACTCTCGCTTCAGCCTTGATCTTGCGGGCCTTGTGGTACACTTGTATCTTGTGGTCGAGGACTCCTTCAATCAGTTCTTCGGTTTTTGGTTGTTTCGGTGGATCAGTAAGTATGTGATCTCTTGGATGGCGTTGCGGGCGTCGGAGTTCTTCGCTTCTGGGATCTGGGCACGCAACTTGTTGATAACCACGCGTTGGTGACGGGTTAACACGTAAAGGTCTTGGCGTAATTTAACCGGCAGATCCGGATAGTCGAATAGTTCGCCGATGTCTTTGGTGACCGCGAGTTGAGGCTTGCGGGTCTTACTACGGGGCATACACTAGCAGATCG